CATTAGCACCTCTAGTAATATATTTACTGAGAAAAATGGTGACGTGTTCAATAGTTATTTTACCCGCTGTTTATTTTTTGTACTTAGTACAGTATCTATCTATCTGGTGGCTCAGTTGGTAGAGCTGATGCCTCTCAGCAAGAAGGTCGCCATTTCAAATTTTGGCCCGGGGACCTTTCTGGGTAAAGTTTGCATGTTCTCTCCGTGCATGCGTGGGTTCTCCTCGGGTACTCCGCCTTTCTCCCACAGACCAAAAACATTACTGTTAAGTTAATTGGTAACTCTAAATTGTCCCTAGGTGTGAGTGAGAGAGTGAATGGTTGTTTGTCTCTATGTGTGTCCCTGAGATGGACTTGTGACCTGTCCAGGGTGTATCCTGCTCCTCGCACTGTGACTGCTGGATATGGGCACCAGTGACCTCCACGACCCTGAAAGGAATAAGCAGGTATAGAAAATGGATGGATGGATGGATATCTATCTATCTACACTGAAAAAAAATGCAACCACTGTTTCGCTGTTTTAAATCAAACTAATTGAAAATTGTGTTTTTTTTACTTTAAATATATATTTTTTCAGTTTGCTTCAAAGTAAATAATGCACATTTTGGAGTAAATTAAAATTATTGTTTGGATTAAAGTAATAATTTTGCTTTAAACCAAATTTATTCATGTCACGTGACCAGATGATGTCACTCGCTGGCTCAGAGAAGATTTTGAAGTCAGCCATTTTGTTTGGAGAAATTATCTGTGGGGGAACATCCTCGGACAGAGGAAGAGCATTATTAAAGGTAAGAAAGTGGAATTACTAAAAATGTATTTTATATTCATATTTCTAAATTACTGTTTGGTTGGACAGCTGTTTAATTTTGTCTTTGTAAAAGTATTTTTCCCAGCTAGTTGCTAGCTAGCTATAGCTGATACCTGCCTGGTGATTTGCATTAAATTATCACACAAATATATGTGTTTTTCTTCACAAATGAAATAGTATTGTTGTTGGTATTACTATTTTATGTCACATAAGTTAAGGTTAACTTAGTATAGTTACCCTCATTTTTCTGTAAAGTAGAGTTTGTCCTGTTCCGTGTTGTTGGAACAGTTTCTGCAGAGTGAGGGCGTTTGGGTTCACATCAAATTTTTAACAAAACATTGATGTCACAGGTACTTTAAATGTTCTATGTTGAGTGAGTCCAACTGACCTTACACCTTGTCTGCATACCTCTTTAAGGGAACATGATCTAATGCAGTGTTTCCCAAAGATGGGGTCGGGACCCAATGTGGGGTCCCAAAACATCAAGGTGGGGTCCTGAAAAGATTTTCTGAATTAATTACATTTTTGCCTTAGTTGTTACAAAGGAGTGAGGTTATTGTATTTAAAATGGATAAATGTAGAATAATAAATATTGTTACTA